TCTTTTCTGGATTTGATAAAAAATCTCTAGATTCATAATAGAAGTACCAGACTATGTATGGTAGAAATATCCGAAGCATGGGCGTATAGTAAACTCATAAATACGTAAGATAAATTCTGGGGCGAGAAAATTGTCTAGTACAACACAGAGGACCAATTTTCTTAACAGCAGACTTAGCAATTGATTCAATATAATCTTTGCACGTCATGTAAGTGGAGAACGTTGACCCAAGAAGCCGCAACCTTTAGTCAATCTCCTGGAGGTTAACATCAACCATGATGATGGAAAGCAGAAAATCTCTCTCAGATGATTATAGAAAGCACTATTTACATTATTCGGACTATTGTCCTCATCTTTGTTGCCATATTTACCACAACGTTTCGGTCGTTGTACGCTCCGGCCTTCTTTAGGTAGTTGGAATGTCGACCTGAACACTTTATTTCGCTCGTTGGGGTAGACTGTTCTAGTTCCAAGTGCCATGTCTAATAGATGTCAGTTATCAGTTATCTCCTGTTAATTGCCCTCTCCAAGTTTTCCACTGCCTTAACCGGGTATTGAAATCACACTCTTTGGGTCCTGTCACTGGATCTAACTAACGCTTTTATCCACCGAGCCATGTGTCCAATAGTCCGAATAATGTAAATAGTGTACATAATACCTCATCTCAGAAATATAGACAGATAATAGGAAGTAGTTTTGTTTTATAGATATTAAAATGAACCGATCATTTCTTTTCCCAGTTAACAGCACATTTTAGGTCACTTTTGAGACAAGCTGCCAATTTGATCTCATCTAACCAATCAGCTATAATCCGATTCTTATATCTTCTGCTTCCGTTTGATTCAGACAAGTTATTAACTTTACTAGAAGGTTCTTAAACTATTAATAACTAATTAACCCTGTTATGTCTTAACGAATAATTATACTCTTTGTTGAACATATAGCTGTTACATAAGTTTGAATTCAAGGTTCTGAGCAAGCAATTCTTTCAATTCCTTCTCCATTAATGGTTAAAGAACGAATTCCATTATTTTGGTTGATGCTTAATTTGTTTTTTTTTTTTTCTTAAGTCGGACTTACATACTTTACTAACATACACGATGTACTAAGAGCTTAACGATTACAGAAGCGAAAAATGGAATCAGAGTGCAAGGTTCAAGTTCCATTCTAATATGTTATGTTTACTTTGCACTAATACCCTTGAGAACGGCAGGAATCTATTATTTCTCCCATACGTCTCCCATAAAATCGCCAGAATCTCACCACTTGTAGTCATCATTATCATATCTGAAACAAAAGGTAGAGATTCATATCACGGTATGAATACTACTACTACTACTACTACTACTACTACTACTACTACTAATAATAATAATAATAATAATAATAATAATAATAGACAAAAAATTCAGGAAGTATATGTTTATTAAAATAGCAGTACCATGTGAGAGAAACACCTCCATGAAAATTATCGAGATACAAATCCAAATACAAACACCTGGAGATCGAGATTAACAGGATGTGGGGAATGAAGACTGAGACTGTATTACTAGTAATCGGAGAAAATCGTGAGAAAAGGAATGGACAATTTTACTAACAGTGTCCCAGGTAACATCAACATACAAGTTACCCAGAAAATCGCCCTACTAGGAACATCCTATATACTAAGAAAATTAATGTCAATTAAATGACAATTCTATACGGCTTAAGGACCATAGTTTTGACCCGGCTCTACAGGATACAAAGCAGGAAACATCACAAACGCAAATAATAATAATAATAATACCCATTACGACACCTGTAACTTCGCCGAAGGCAAGATGATCCAATTTCAAATCTAAGTAGTTTGTTCATTTAAAATTACTGCATTTATTAGAAGATATAATTCCTTTAAATACAGGAGTCATAAAAATGCTTTTCAAAGGCTTCCATTTCAGCATATACGCTTTTACTGACAAAGGGAAATTCGCATTCACGTCTCAGTGGACACTAATTTCATTACTTTTGTGCGCATATATATTTTAATAACAAACATAAAATGATTTCTACAGAATTAAAAAAAAAATATCTCCATTTATTAAAATGGAAAAAAATTCCGAAAAACTCAGCAAGATCTTACAATTATCTGATTTTTTTTTATTTATTTCAATAAATTATTTTCCGTCTCCAAATTCTTGATGATATGGCTCAGGCAGTGGCTGTCCCTACTGTGTAGAATATCTATTCATCCAACATCTTCGTTCAAAATTATCTTCATTTCGTGTATATGTGTGTGATTTGTATTCATTAAATGGCACAATCATATGTAAGTCACTGATGCACAACACACACACACACACACATATATATATATATATATATATATATATATATATATATATATATATATATATATATATATATATATATATATATATATATATATATATATATATATATATCTACTCTATATATATATATATATATATATATCTATATATATATATATATATATATATATATATATATATATATATATATATATATATATTGACACCTATATATATATATATATATATATATTTTTGACACCTCCCCGGTTTTTGTGCAGATGTAAATGTTTATTTCTTGTTTTTTGTTTAGGATTGGGTTTTCGGTTCCTTCAAAAGTTTTCTTCTCTTTCGCTCCCAGTAGAATTATCGCCTTACTTGGGGTGATTTTTTTTAAAGTATTTCATCCCAAGCAAGGCGGGAGTGCCACTAGGGTAGAGAACAAGAGTAAAGAGGCGTATTTGGTGAGTGGATAAAGAGAACGACGGGGAACAAGATTAAGGTATCAGAAGATGTCAATTGACATTACACTTGAATATTTGAAGATTATATTTCTCAGGAAAGCGAGTAAGAGGAAAAGAATTCCACAGAAGGGAAGTGCAGGAGAAGAAGCTGTTTGAGAAGAAGAGACGGTTACATTTAACCGTTTTGATAGTGAAAGGGTAGGACCGAGATGCCAGCCTCTTAGCTCGCTTAAATTCATGCAGTCTGGGAACCAGCGTAAGTAGCTCGTTGGGACAGTTGCCGTAAAAATGTTTATAGAAGAGACAAAGAGAAGCCACGGCACGTTTATGAGAAAGCTACTGTAGACTAGATGCCAGATCAGGACTTATCGCATTGCATATCCGTCGGTGCATTTTTTCGAATACCTCGAGACTTACAGCGGGTACAGCAGATCATATACGACAGCAATATTCCATTCAATGAAGAATTGATTAAAAACTAAATAACTATAACATACACGCATGCAAAGTCACCTGCAGACAGTGTGTGACGGACATAGATTCAGCTCTATTTTCATGTTACAGATTACTAGCAGCATGGCCCGGCGTTGCCCTTGCTTGATTCAAAAATCGTACGACTAATACAGCAATTGCTATCACTTGACTTAAAATATTTTTGTCATTTCTTGCCTTTAAAGGAGTGCCTTTTGCCGTGCTGATGTTGCTATATGCCTTACTTCTTGCCTATCTCACACTGCGAATTTTTTCTAAGCTCAATACTAAACATTAAATCTGTTACGAAATAAGAACTAAACAAAATGAACACAAAACGATCAGCTTTAAAAAAAAGGACTCGTAACTGGAAGAACCGAATGAAAAAAGAATGTTAACAACAAATACTTTTTTACACCCAACCCAGTTCTGCGGAATCAGAATCAACGTTGAGTTTAAGCAAGCGAATGAGCCAATTGGCGTAAAGTGCCATGCAAATTTTAATTTTTCCCACTTGTGACGAATGCAGCTATCGATGCTAATTAACTTTCGTGTCAGTCATCTGTTGGCTCTCACGCTGGTCAATAGAATCCTCCTGCCTATCTGTAGCAGCAAGCTATTGGCTCTCACTCTGGCCAGTACAAAATGGCTGCAAACTACATGAAAACTGCCGTAGAAGCATAAAAAAAATCGATTATTTCCGATTATTTCCACTATCGATGTGAGTTGGGAAATGCAACGTCGGTCTTGGCCTTCCGCTAACTTGGAGCATGTGCATGTAAATTTTGGTGCAAATCCGTCGAAAATTGCGGCCGTGCATTCGTTGCACACACACACACACACACACACACACACACACACACACACACACATCCTGCCAGTTATAGAAAGAGATAAATTTTAAATAATATCGTGAAGTAAGCGATAGTATTTCATCCGTCACTGGTTTACTTGAGAGTAGGAGGAAGTTATATGATATCCGTCTTCAAAATGGGAAATTGATGACTATTTTGAAAATCAGCATACGACATTCTAGTTTGAACACCGACTACTGGGGTCGGTGGAAAACACACAACGCATTCATTCACCAGATCAGCCAAAAATAGATGTTTACTTAAATTCGGCTTCGTGTAGTAAAAGTACACAGAAAGATTTCTAAACAAGCGAATGATTTATGAAATGACATTCTTAAACAGTAGACTGCTGCAGGTGCCCTTTCTATGCGTTCTTTCCATCGACGTTTGCAAGTATTTATCCATCCCATCTGCCTCTCTGCATATCTCAGTTTGCATGTACCTGTTTATTTACCACAATTTATTTGTTCCTATCTAAATCCATTTCTAACTGACTGTCTGTTTACCACAATTTACACATATCCCAGCCTGTTCATGTCTGCCTGATTTTGTCAATGTCAACGTCAGTGTATCTGTCACAGTCAGTTCGTGTCTGCCTGTTTCTTTGTCAATGTCAATTTAATTTTACCTATCACAGTCATTTTTGTCTGCCTGTTTCTTTATCAATGTCAATTTCATTGAATCTGTCGTCGTAGGTTCCTGTCTGCCCGTTTCTTTGTCAATGTCAATTTAATTTTACCTATCACAGTCAGTTCTTGTTTCTCTGGTTTTTGTCAATGGCAATTTGATTTTCCCTATACTAGTCTTTTCTTTCTGTCTTTCTTTCTTTCTTTCTTACTAACTTTCTTTCTTTCTTTCTATCTATCTATCTATCTATCTATCTATCTATCTATCAACTGCTTACGGACACATCACGTTGAAACTCCGGTTCTCGCAAGATCACCGATGTTAAGAAACGTCGAGCCTGGTCAGTATCTATATGGGTGATCACTTGGGAATACCAGGTGTTGTCAGTTTGAATGTGCGTGGGTTGTAATGGACGATGCAAATGGAGAGACGAGTTCGAATTCCAGTCGGGTTCTTTATATTGACTTACGCGAAAATACCCTTGGGAATGATATGAATCTATCTCTTCTACCCCCGCCAAACTATGAACTAATTAGTAAGATCTGGATTAATAAGTCATTGTTATCTTCCGAAAATTATAATCTAAAAAAATATTCTGGTTATAAATAACATGCAAATGGTTGATAAACACAAATTGATCAATCTGTCTGTCAAGAATGATTGCTAAAAATATGACAATGTAGAACTATTCAAAAACTACTTTCTTCCATAAACATCCCAGGCCAACGTTTTTAGCTGACACCACGTGGAAAGACTATATTGAATCCATTACTAGGTTAGTTTGCTAAGGAAGTTGGTTCACTCTGTCGTGCGAGACAATTTTACTCTTCAGAATCTATCTATAAGCCTACAATTCGTCCATGCTTATATATATATGGTCCGGTGCTTAGAGTTTATGGCAAGGACTCATCAATTTACATTTGAGCTGACTATATGTAGCCGTAAGTTCTACGCTAACAGTTTCTTTCCTCGTAATTTTCGCATGTGGAGCTCCTTTCGGAATTCATGCTTTTCAGCCAAATTTAATCTACAAAAATTTAAATGTGATGCCAATCGCTATCTACTGTTCTCCTGATTACACATTTCTCCTTCTGCTCATTATTAACGTTTCTGTTCCTAATTATTCCACACCATGTAATCGCTTTTGTTTTAGTGGCTTTACTGCCTTGCTTTTGGGTGATATCGATAAAAAAAATACTAATCTGGCGAAATTATGTACAGTGTTTTGAGTGTTTTCAGTCATAATTGCGAACAAACCCTCTACTATAGTTCTTCTCTTCTCAAATACAAGGAGATGCTGGAAGATTACTCCCTCTAAATCTGAACAAATGGTCAAATATCAGGAGGTAAGGTTTCCTCATTTTTTGTTTTGTAAGGTCTTTATTTTCAACACGCCCACGTTTATCTATATATGATATGCGGAAATCTGTCAAGGCCTTTGGCTGCGGCAGACAGGAAGGGTCGTAATCTATCGCAGTTCCCTACTCGAATATACGACTTATAAAAACGCTGACTACATTTATAAGACCTTATCTACCTAATAAATGCAACCTGACATCAACATCCATATTCATATATATATATATATATATATATATATATATATGCATATTGGTTATTCCGAAATTTTCGTTTGAGGACATGTTACTTTTATTCAATTTAATATTAATAATTATATTGAGGTTTGCGGCTCTCGTTTTGGAAACATGAGAACTCTTATGTCGCGAAGAAATCATATTTTAAAAAAAATAATTATAATTTAGACTCTACTTTTGTATGGAGCACTGTTTTTTTTTTTTTTAAATAAAAACAAAAAAATACTAAAGAACTCCGGATTATTTACCTAACGTGTTCTTTCCTATTTTTCTACATACGAGCAGACACACACACACACACACACACACACACATATCTCCAAGGTGTCCATAAAGTTCGTGTGCATAAATAAGTTATAATTTTTTGCACATGAACTTTATGGACACCCTGTATATATGTGTGTGTGCACGCGCATATGTATGTAGACAAACATGGATAACCATGCACACAATGAAATGGAGTGTCAAAAAGACAGTTTTTGTCATGACACCGATTTCTTTTTAACTATCTATACTCTACGGCAATGTTTATTATTTTAAAAAGCATAGATTGGAATTGGAATAAACATATCAAAGTTAATTCACACATTTTCTTTATTCTTGATAATTAACAAGATAATAAATACTGTTTATTTAACAGATTGTTTATTAACACTGTTCTTTTATTATTTTATTTATTAGTATCGTTGGCAAAAGATCGGCAAATTGCCAATTACTTCATATGGCAAATAATAATGATTTCATTATAGTTTAATAATTTAGTAAATGTTTATAACTTTATGAATAAAACATTGTTTTCACATTTCTTTATAAATTAAAAATGATATTATACTGCATTGCATTATTTCAAATTGCATTAGTTTTTAAAATGTTGCTAATGTAAAAGTATTCTTGTAAAGAAGCACTCTAATAAATAGTGTTTAAACAAAAAGTAAATAAATTCACTTTCACATGTTGAGGTTTTTCAATTATAAACATAGCTTTTTAGAATAATAAACATTGTCAAAGAGTGAATGTTTATACATATATATATATATATATATATATATATATATATATATATATATATATATATATATACTAGCAGTAGAGCCCGGCGTTGCCAGGGGATATAACAGTAAGAGATAGATCAAGTATCCACCATCATAAAGACTGAAAAATAAAATTGACAAAGATTGTTTAAGGTTGACGGACACACATGTCTTAATTAGTTTTTTTTTGTTTTTTTTAACGAATTGGTCAAACTCAAACAAAAACATTGTTTTCAATCGTTATGAGTCTCCCGATTGAATAGAATTCTATTATAAACAATTGTCTTGTAAATGGAATTTTTAAAGCATTCTGAATGTAAAAATAAAGAAACAAATGTGCAAGACAATAAGAAACACTACATGCCAAAAAAAAGTGAAGTTTTGTTGAAATCGATTGAAAAATGTAGGTAGCCTTTCTGTAATCTTTTAGTTTTACAATTTATGATTTTTGCTTATTGAATACAGTAAAAAAAATTGGACACCATGTGTATTTATTAAAGTAGTTTCCCGTTCCGGTTATTATTTTAGTTTAGATTTCATTATCTTTCCCTAAAGATAAAGAATTTATCCGATGTTTGTATTCGTACAATCAGTAGAGATCGTTAGATTATTGTTTAAGGTTGACGGACACGCATGTCTTAATTAGTTTTTATTTTTTTAATTTTTTACGAATTGGTCAAACCCAAACTCAAACAAAAACATTGTTTTCAATCGGTATGAGTCTCCCAATTGAATAGAATTTTATTATAGATAATTGTCTTGTAAATGGAATTTTTAAAGCATTCTGAATGTTAAAAATAAAGAAAAAAGTGTGCAAGAGAATAAGAAACACTACCTGCCCCCCCCCAAGTGAAGTTTTGTTTTATCGACTGAAAAATATAGGAAATCCGATGTGAGTTGTCCCCTTCCATTTGCACGATGTTTCTTAATCGTGTTTTCAAATTGATTTTGTGCAAAAACAATTATATTTTCCCCATTTTTGGCGCTGTTAGAACCACCACGAGGTAATTTTATGTAGTCCTGTGAAGTTTTGTTGAAATCGGTTGAAAAATGTAGGAAATCCGATCCAATATATAAACATTACAGACACACACACACAATCTGCGTTTTATAATAATATGATATATATATATATATATATATATATATAGAGAGAGAGGGGGGAATCTAAATGAAATAATAAAAAAAAACGAAAGAATATTAATCTACAACCCAGTGTGTCTGAAGATTTTAATTTTTTATATTTTTTATTGTTCATATATATATATATATATATATATATTGGTGGTGGGTACAGATCTATTTCATCCAACGAGAAGTACGCCACTCTTATTCAACCCCGTTCTATAGACTGTCTATACACAGTAGTTGAATATGACTAACGTACTTCTCGTTGGTTGGAATAGATCTGTACCCCCACCGTGAGATATTTTGGGATATATATATATATATATATATATATATATATATATATATATATATATATATATATATATGTGTGTGTGTGTATAAAATGTGGTGCAGTTCAATTTTTATATTACATGAATCATTCATACAAAAAAGTAGATTAGTAAAGTTAATGATATAAAATGGCGAAATATTCTTTTCACATTGCATTATTTTCGCCATTTTATATCATTAACTTTACTAATCTATTTTTGTATGAAATCATGTAATATATATATATATATATATATATATATATATATATATATATATAAGCAAGTGTAAATGGATATAAATCCGACAGAATGAAGAAATTTTGAAAAAACAAACAAAAATCCTTAAATGTAGTTAAAATTTCATTTTAACTACATTTAAGGATTTTTTGTTTGTTTTTTATATATATATATATATATATATATATATATATATATATATATATATATATAAAGGACAATTCCTCCAATGAATCCCTATTTAACAAAGCTAAGAAAGACTATGAAACGGCCCTAAAAGATAGCGGATTTCCAGCAATACTCACATACTCACCACAGAAAAAAGGCCAACAGGAGAAGAAATATCATATGGTTCAACCCACCGTACAGCAAGAACGTAAAATCAAACGTAGGAAAAATATTCTTCAAACTCTTACACAAACACTTCCCAGAAACAAGCACCTTACACAAGATATTCAACAAAAATACAGTAAAAATCAGCTACAGCTGCACCGAGAGCATGGCACAAATAATAAAAAAGCACAATAGGAATATTATCAACAAACCACACGAACAAATTAAACCCACGTGCAACTGCAGAATAAAGAACGAATGTCCCTTAAACGTAAATTGTTTGCAAAAAAACATAATATACCAAGCCACGATAAAATCACCAGATAATGAAGAAAAAGTATACATAGGAGTAACTGAAGGACCCTGGAAACAAAGAAATTATACACAGAAAACATCTTTCACAAATAGCAAATATGCGAACAGTACAATGCTTTCTAAGTATATCTGGGAAATTAAAAACAAAACGCACATCACACCAAAAATATCTTGGAAGATAAGGAAAAAATCCATCGGCCTACAACAACCAATCAAAAACTTGCAGACTTTGCTTGGAAGAAAAAATAGCTATCATTACTTTCCCAGACCAAAATAAATTATTAAATAAAAGATCCGAGCTCATCTCAAAATGCAGGCATGAAAATAAATTTTTACTACGTAACCTAAAAAATGAAAAACGGAAAAAATAAAATAAAAACAAATGTACTAATAAATAAAAAAAAAAATAGAAATAAAAATTAAATAAATACTA